GAGTTCTGGGCTCTGGGGCCTTTGGGACGGTCTACAAGGTACCAGCGATGGCTGAAAGCAGAAGACGCTGTCCTCCTGACATGATGACTCACTTCACGTCTCTCTGTTCAGGGTTTATGGAACCCAGAAGGAGAAAACATCCGGATCCCAGTCGCTATCAAAGTTCTGAGAGAGGCTACATCACCGAAAGTCAACCAGGAAGTTCTGGACGTAAGGCTTTGCTTCTCCTCTGGTTCAGTTTGCTCAAGAGCAGTGGGGACTTCAACCATCATCTTGTCTTGTGTTTTATGTCTTTAGCTGTGTTGGCTCTCCTGAACAGAAAGAACAAGGTTCAGTTCTGTTGGGTCTGTTCCCTTTGGACAGCACCAGCATTTATTAGGATTACTGTTTGTTTCTGCCCAGATTTTCTCATCGTTAATCACAAACCGATCCTGAGCTTAACGCTGATCCCGACCTTTCATTAGCACAGAAACATTAATGCATTTACATTCTGACTAGGATCCTGCTGGTTTCCTGACAGACTCTCCTGCCTCCGTCCTTCACTTCTTCATTTCAAACCATCAGAGGTCTTGTTGTACATCAACTCCAAGAGCTGCTGTTTCCTGCCATATGTGACAATATGCTGCATTCAGTTAAAGGGTTGTTGATGGGAACGAATGTTAAGCCACAATACATCTGAATATGTTAAACTGGACAGTAATACAAAGAAAATACAGAAAACTTCTGTCACAAAACAGAAGGTGAGCGAAGCAGTGAACATTTGGATAAACTGAGGTTTGTGTTGAAACGTTTTCACAATTAATAAGATCAAAAGTAAAAAAACATTTAGATGTAAAGGAAACGAAAGTCAGACAATTTTCATTTGATGAATTAAAAAATCAAAGATTAAAAAAAGAGCAAAAATATAAATAAAATGTATATTTATTTGTATTTCTGCCGTCTATCTTTCAATATTGTTGCATGAATCAGAATTAATATGGCATATGAACAAAGTTAGTAAGTGAATTTCTGATTTAAAATGTTTTAAAATAATGCAGTATTTATCAGTTTTTGGAACAAACATTCCACATCATATCGTATCTATTACTTAGATTTATAAATGACTTTAATTAACTAAATATTTCTGACCAGCTAAATATCTGCAGAGTGACTATTAATGTAAACTAAAACAGTTCAGTTGAAGTGAATATGACTCTCACTGTGTTTTATCTTATTATCTGTAATTATTGGTATTTCTGCCCTGCTCTGCCGTGTCGCTGTGTTTACGGACCGTCGGCGTTTCTGACGCTGCAGGTTTTAATTCTTCATTAAAGATGACCTGATGAATGTGATGTTCATGGACTGTTGGTGTTTGTGGCTTCCCTGCAGGAGGCGTACGTGATGGCGAGCGTGGACCATCCTCACGTCTGCCGCCTGCTGGGCATCTGCCTGACGTCGGCCGTGCAGCTGGTGACGCAGCTGATGCCGTACGGCTGCCTGCTGGACTACGTCCGGCAGCACCAGGAGCGGATCTGCGGCCAGTGGCTGCTGAACTGGTGTGTTCAGATCGCCAAGGTGAGCCAGGAACCGGCGCTCAGTAATCCTGCTGAGGCTCGTTAACCTGAACGCATCAGGATGAAGGACTTTAATCCCTTCAGTCCCGTCTGAAATGTTTAGATGCTGGGAAAACCTGAACTGGGTCAGGAGATTAGAGTGAATTTGGGTTGTTCTGGATCCCACGGTCTGGGGAACTGTTCCCAACACTGACTGAAAGTTAAATCAACATTTCATGATAACCTGGACAAAATAATGGAATTCAAATATTTCTTTATCTATTTAGCGGTTAGTTGTGGTTTGTTAAATGACAGACTGTGTCCTGCTGGTTCAGGGGATGAACTACCTGGAAGAGCGCCACCTGGTGCACCGCGACCTGGCGGCCCGGAACGTCCTGCTGAAAAACCCCAACCACGTCAAGATCACAGACTTCGGCTTGTCCAAGCTGCTGACGGCCGACGAGAAGGAATACCACGCGGACGGAGGAAAGGTGCCCTGACAACGCCTGACCGGTTTCTGTCCGGACTGAAAACACATCAGATGAGTCACTGCTGCATCTCTGAGCAGGTTCCCATCAAGTGGATGGCGTTGGAGTCGATCCTCCAGTGGACCTACACCCATCAGAGCGACGTGTGGAGCTACGGTGAGGAATCATCCCACAGCGCCACCTACCTGCCTTCACCCTCCACCTCCTGTTAGCCGATTTAAACATCTGAAACGGCACAGCCAGAGGATTCAGACTGAATAAAATACTCAGCTACGAGTCATTCTAACTGGACATGGCTCAGTGTGTTCCTGCAGAACATGAGGAAATTGTTCCTTTTCCTTATATGCAGTGTTATTGCAAGCTAGGCTAGGCTAGGCTAGGCTAACCAAGCTAACGTCACTCCTGTCTCTGCAGGTGTGACTGTTTGGGAGTTGATGACGTTCGGATCCAAACCGTACGACAGCATCCCGGCCAAAGACATCGCCTCGTGCTGGAGAACGGGGAGCGGCTGCCGCAGCCTCCCATCTGCACCATCGAGGTCTACATGATCATCCTGAAGTGTAAGAGCTGACCCTGCAGGTGGCGCTGCAGACTGGCTGGGGCTGCTTCCTCAGGTAGTGTGTTGTCCCTGCAGGCTGGATGATCGACCCGTCCAGCAGACCCAGGTTCAGAGAGCTGGTGGGCGAGTTCTCCCAGATGGCCCGGGACCCGTCCAGGTACCTGGTCATACAGGTACGCCGCCGCCTCCACCTCATCCCTCTATAGAACACCAACAGAATAAATCTGGGTTTTCACTTTACTTTTCAAAGAATATGTCTAAAGAGTTCAAATCAAAATAAAATGTTTTTTATAAAGTAACTGAACATTAGAAGTGAGTCTGATCAAATTTGGGATAATAAAGTATGTTTGACTGTGAAGGTCGTCTCTGACTTGCTTCCCAGGGAAACCTGCCGAATCCGTCTGATCGGAGGCTTTTCTCCCGCCTGCTGAGCTCTGATGACGACGTGGTCGACGCCGATGAATACCTGCTGCCGTACAAACGGATAAACCGGCAGGGCAGCAAGCCCTGCATCCCACGGTAAACACTCTGATGCTAACCGAAACAACCAGCTGAAACAAGTCCAGGAGTTTCATTCTGACCCGGAGAGTCCGACCCCGGCTGGGTTTCACAGTCCAACATGGCTGCCGCTCTACAGACAGCGGCCGACAGTTTCATCTGAATTTGTGTCTCAATAATCTGATCCTTCAACATTTTGTGTTTTATCTTAACTGGTTATCAAATGTACAATATAGACAGTAAACAGCAGCTCTCACCTGCCGCCGCTGACGGATCCATTTCATGGTGTCTTTATGAAACCTTCAAAATAAAAACAGCAAATATCTTGATAGAGTGAAAGAATTACATATAAATAATATTCTTTGACACCTGTCTAATATTTGCTTTGGATTGTTTTAACACATATTTATAATTATATATAATATTGTTTTATTTCTTGTGTTGGATAATCTAAATCAATGTCATTTTCAAATTTACTAAATCCCAGTTATCCTTCATAGCAAACGATTTACACCAAGCACTATAGCTAATATTATTCATTTTATAAATACAGTATAGTAATATTCTAATTATAAAATATAAACATTAACATGTTCATCTTCCTTGTGAAACGTTATCCCCTGAGATCTCACGTAAGATCTCAGGGGATAACTGAGATCTTACGTGATCTATCTGTTTTTGTTCAGATAGTCCATCAATCTGAACAAAAACATCCGGCAGTGCTTCTTCTTCTTCTGCTGTTTTGGTTTAGCCAAATAGGAGGAACCACCACTCCAAGATGGCCGCCGTATTTCCTGTACCCGAGGAGCCAATGTGGCGTCAACTCTTTATTACACCTGTGATGTTAGCACACATGACCTGTTACTGCCAACCACAAGGGGCAGAGCAATACGTGAAGTGAAATAATGGAAATGTTTTATCCAGCATGAACACTGATCCATCTGAACGGTGTGTTTGTTCAGAACGGCCATCCGCTGAGAGAGAACAGCATCGTTCTCCGGTACATCTCCGACCCGACCGAGAACGCCCTGGAGAAAGACCTGGACGGTCACGGTAGGTTCTGATCAGCGATCACTTTATGCCAGAAATCAGGAAGTGATCAAAATAATGGAGTCAAACAGACAGGATAGGAGTCATACGCAAACAAGGAGTTTCACCAAAGCAACCGAGTCCAGGACCTAAACCAATCTTCCTGATGTTTGTGTTGCAGAATACGTTAACCAGCCTGGGAGTGAAACCAGCAGCAGGCTGTCTGATATCTACAATCCCAACTACGAAGACCTGACGGAGGGCTGGGGCCCCGTGTTGCTGAGCTCCCAGGAGGCAGAGACCACCTTCTCCAGACCAGAGTACCTGAACACCAACCAAAACTCGCTGGCCCTGGTGTCCAGTGGCAGCATGGACGACCCCGACTACCAGGCCGGCTACCAGGCCGCCTTCCCACCGCAGACTGGAGCGCTCACTGGGAACGGCATGTTCCTCCCTGCAGCAGAGAACCTGGAGTACCTGGGACTGGGAGGCGCACTGTACACTCCTGTCCGCTAGGGGCAGCAGCGCTCAGCCTGAAGCTGTGGCTTTGCTCAGATAAACTGTGTTCTGTTTTTAATTGGACCAACAACTGTCAGTTCTCCAGAGGAACTGAAACAGAACAAGAACTTCTTGTCCCTTCAGGCAAAGGTCCAACCTTTGGCTCTAAGCTGATTGGATGAACCCATCTGGAAAATGGAGCCAAACATTACCCAGCATCATGCTGGGTAATGTTTATCTGTTACAGTTTATCTGTTTTTTACAGATAAACTGTAAAAACATAAGCTAATTCAGGCTACCTTACATGTGGGTTCGTATGCTGCAGGACGATGCAGGTGTTTCAATCCTGGGCGCTTCTGCTTCCAACATTTACTGCCGTGAACTGAAAATATTTGAGATTTCTGAAGATATGCTTTTACTGTCAGTCAACATAATGTCTGCAACCTTAAATTTTTCAGAAAAAGCAAAAATGGGTTGAAACTGGATTCCCAGGTCACACTGCTGTACTCCAGATATTTATAACTGCCATTTTGTAAAAAGGAAAAACTAAATCTGCATTTACACAATTCGTTAGTTTCCTATCAAAACAATTTTATACAAGTCCTGCAAAAGCAGGTGGGAATAAAATTAAGCTTACTAAAATTGACATTTTGTTGAAGACCACGTTGGGTGAACAATAGAACACAAACGGTTCTGTTTTGTAGATTGTAGAAGGACGGAGGAGGACATGTCCAACATGTTGCTTGATCCTCTTTGGGCATCACGTCCTCACAGTTACATCAGTTTTAAAATATCGCACCAAAATCTGTGTGCATGTCAACAGGAGGTGGAGACGAAGTGGAAAAATATACATTTTACCAACCATCAGAGTTGGTGGGGAGATTTTAACTAAATTTTAAAAAATTATTCAGTAGTCTGGAATAATCTAAACTTGATTTAAATGTAAACAAATCTTTTACTTGTGTTGTCAACATGGAGGCAGACTGTAGGGGGCAGTGTTTACCGTGTTCATGCTGCGTTTTAGACGTTCTAACTCGGGATTTTGAGACATCGCATTCTGCTAGCGCTTTTCTGATCTGCAACTCAGAGAATTCACTTCTCCTTCTCCAGGCTAACTTCTGTTATTTCTCACTGACAGGTTTACAGCAAGTTACGCAATGTGTTTGACGAATTTGATTTGAAATTTGTCATGTGACTTAGTAAGGTGGCAGCCATATTGGATTTTCACATTCCAAGTCAAAACTTGAAGAACAGTTCCAAGTTAGTTCTTTTGAAAATTAATGAGGCAAATAGAAAGCACGCAGAACTGCTCCCCCTGCTGGTACTGCCGGGGTTCTACAATAAAACACAAATCCCACAAAGAATAGGTCAGTTTCTTGTTAATAATGACATGTTTATTCTACTATTATTGTACTATGGTGTTTCTGTAAATGTAACTTTAAATGCGTTCAAGTGAGAAAGCGTGTGTAACTCAGTGAATTTTAAGTTCAGCTCTGGACGGAACCAGTCCAGAACCTGCAGGTCCTCACTGAGGAACACAGGTCAGCTAAACTTCACAGAACCATTTCAGTCCAAACTGTAGCACAAGGAGAACCTCCTCTTGTTGTCTGACTTGAAATATTCACTGCTGATTGTTGATGTTGTTGAATTCTTGCTTTACTTGACACAAATGAGCCAAATCTTGACGTCCTGCTGCTGGACATTAATGCTATTCTCTGTTTTCAATGTTTATTGATAAAAAAAAAAACAAAGTTACGTTTCTGACTGTGGCTGCTGCTTTTTATTCCTAGTATCTATAAGTCCATATATATATAATATTAACGTAGTATTTTACTAGTTTAATTAGTATTGCTTAAAATAGTAATTTTAGGAAGTAATTCTTAAAATGGCTTAATGCTATCGCTAACAGCAAGCTAACCCATGTTATTTCTGTGCTTGGATTTACTGCTAAATCATTTATTCAGCTTCTGCAAACCCAAATTCATGCTTTAGTTGAATGTTAATGTTAAGTCATAAAGGATTTCTACAATGTAGGTCAACCTACATTGAAACCCATTAAAACCAGTTGATGGCCAGAGACAGCAGGGAAATAGTCCCAGCTCCCAGTATATACAATAATATATTTGACCTAGATTATGAATGCATTATGAATGCTGCTCTCTCAGTAAATGTCCAATAAGATACATGAAAACACAATTTAAAGGACGAGATCCTTACCTAAATGTCTAAGCTAGGCTCCACCGTTAGCATCCATGTTTACTTCCGCAAACACTGAGAATGATGACGCTATTGCGCCCTCTACTGCGCATGCGGGACACGTACAGGCCGAACGACGGCAAAACCCGATCTGACGAAACATCGGGTCACTTCAGGCTGCAGTGTGAACGCAAACCTTAGGGCGGCAATCACCAACTGACCCCAAATTTTTGCGTGACGTCAGTACTACGTAATCTGCAACCCAGCAATTCGTTAATCTTTTGAAGTTTTGCGTTTTCCTGCAGATTTGGGACGGTGATCGTTGGTTGGTTGGTTTGGGTCGCCATGTTTTCTGCTGGTTCTGGTCCACATGTAGCAGAACGTTCTGGAGGATTTCATACTTGTCACTTTTCAGCAGGTCCTGGTACCAACATCAGCTTCAGGTAACACCAGAACCAGAGAGGATCTATGGGGCATCGTCCACAGGAAGGAGCCGAAATGTTCGAGAAATAAAGTTTGGTTTGATGAATTCAGAATTTATAAATGAACCACTTTAACATTTAAAATAACTGTAAAGTTTGTAAAGATGTTTTTTAAGCGTGATTGTGTTACCATGGTTACAGTCAGCAGAGCTTCATTTTGTCCATGAACATGTCAGCAAATAACTGATTATTCAAGCTTTTCCCAGATTCCACCATGTTCTGAACACAACAGACCAACATTTCAGACACCAACTAATTTATTCAGATGTTTGTTTATGATCAGGAGGAAATGCTGCACGGATGAGATCCTGGAAAACACAAAATGGCCGATGGTGGATTTACAAATAAAAGGTTACAGTAAATAATTTCATCCAGGCCTTAAACAATAAGATCTACACTTTCCAGATTGACCTTCCAATTCCAGCAACTTTTCCTAATACATATTTTGGTCAATTTAAAAAAATATTTAATTTTATAAAACAAAGATGTAGCGACATCTGGTGGCAAATTGAAGGATTGCAAACTGAATATTCACCTGATACAGTTATTGAAAAGAATGACACTGAAGTGATCTCTAAAAAATATATAGTATCATTTGTAGGTTGTTCAATAAAAAAAATGATGAAAATTGGAGCAAGAATTGATTTTTACACAGTGAAAGTTAAAAGAACACAGAACCAGTTTTACAGCAAATCATCGGTTTATTTTCTGCATCTTCAAAAGCAAATCAAAGAAAAAGTTTGAAACTGAATGAATTCAGTCCAGGAAGAGCCGAGTCTCCGCTGTTCGTTTGATTCTTCACAGTAAAATTCAAATCCAACAAACAGCCTCTGAACCGCAAACACCGCCCCCTGGTGGGGAGACAAGGACAGCAGAAACCCCGCCCACTGAAGACCAAACTGGAATAAATTAGCCAGAAACCAGTGCTTCCAGTTCAGCAACTTTCCGACCCGATAGTGGAGGTTCTGGGTCCAGACGGGCCGCTTAGAGAGAAACCGTTCAGCAGGTTATAACTCAGAAAAACATCCAGATCACCGCTACAGGAGCCCAGCTTCATGAAACTAATCATAAAATACACAATGACCCTGAACGCATCACCACAAACAGCCGCAGAGCTATTTTAATCCAGCAGGCTGCAGATTTAACCTGTTTTTATTCTGGATTAATTTCAGGGAGAAATCATTAACGGCATAAAAATTCATGTTATTCAATCAAATTGAGAGGTTTTCTGATCAGATATCAGAATGTTTGGTGAAATAAATGTAAGAGAAAGTTGAGATTTTTCCAACATAAAACTAAAAGATTGAAAAATTGAAAGCGTTGACAGCGCTCCACGTTCAGATTTAAACCCTGAAGCTACAGAAAAGCAGGCTGTGAACAGAGGAGATGAAGGTTCATCTGAAGAGAGGGTCAGAGCTGCAACTAACCAACCAGTGTTTAACCTGCTGAGTCGACACCAGCTGCTCCCACAAACATCCTGGAGCTGAAACAAGAGCCAGACCAGAGGAAACAGCAGGAGGCGCCGTCTCCACGCAACGTCAGCAGTTTCTCACTAAGGCTTAAAAAACAAAACAAATCCTCTCCTCTGGTTAGAAAAAACAAAACAACCTTTAACTGAAAAGCAGTGGAGTCGTGTGTGTGTGTGTGTGTGTGTGTGTGTGTGTGTGTGTGTGTGTGTGTGTGTGTGTGTGTGTGTGTGTGTGTGTTTGTTCGACAGTCTCTAAGCTGAAAGTGGAGCCAGCCGTCGCTGTGCTTGGCACTGGTTCAAGTTCCTCAGCAGACAGACAGACGGACTGAGCGCGCTCAGACGGCTTCAGTCCTCCTCTTCCTCCTATCATGGCGGACAGATGAAGGGTCGCCACGGCGCCCGTCACTCGTCTGAGCCGGCCGAGCGTTTCTGGTTCCGCTTGCGAGGAGATCGTCTGGGAGAAGCTTTGTCTGGAGAACGAAACGAGAATCTGGCTGAGCATCCAAACATGAACAGGAAGCATTCAGTATAAACCGCCGAGACGCGGGGTCGACCTCCGGGTCGCGGGGTCGACCGCCGGGTCGCGGGGTCGACCGGCGGGCGAACGCCACATGCAGCTGAACAGGAATGAATCAATACAGTTTCAGCTTTAACACTGAGATGAAAACTAGACCCAGTTTACAGATTTAAATTAAGATTGTTCTGTAGATAAATGATGTGAATGGATTCAACCTGTTAAAGAATTTTAATTCCACTGAAGATCAGTTATTAACAGGGATCCACTGGATTACTTTCAAACAGGATTTTAGTCCCTGGTGGCTGAAGAAGCTCTCAGGTTTTTATAGACATGACTTCATGGAGAAAATGTTTCTATCAGTGGTTTAAACAAAGTTTCTCTGATTCTGAAGTAGAAAAAAGGAAAAATGTTGAGAAGCAGCAGAGAAACTGAGAGAATCCAGGAGAAAAAGAGATCAACTGGATCATAGAGCTGCAGAAACAGAATAAACTTCCTGTCAAACAAACACACACACACACACACACACACACACACACACACACACACACACACACACACACACCAGGACAGACGCATGCAGCAGCCTCACCTCTGCGGCTCTGCACTGAAGACGCAGGAAAAACACGACAGCAAGGAAACAGAGAGAGACAGAGGAAGATAAGTGAACCACAAGCTCTGAGGGTTCAAAGGTCACTGTGGGGGCGGCCTTGGACTAGACCACCTGACCGGCAGCAGTAGAGTGGTACGTACTGATCTGGTTGAGCGTCTCCTGAGGGATCCAGCTCAGATCCACGTCGTTGTGGCTCGACGTTCCCGTTTCCACCTTAGGAGCCGGGCGCCTCCTCTGAGACAGACGGAGGTCAAGAGGTCAACACAGGGGTCAGCAGGTGTTACATCATTATTATCAGAAATGAATTCACATGAAAGGAATTTTCATCTATCAGCCTCACGATAAATTCTAATGATCGATGTTTGGGAACTCAAAGCGTTCTCATTTTTCTCTTTCTACCAAAAACTGGATGATAAAAGTTTCAGTCTGGTGTTTTCATCTCAACTGGACACTTTTGTTTACAGACTCTTTAAAATTCATTTCATTTATTAATTTGTTATTAATTTGTTTTATTTATTTTGAGTATTAAAAAATCTTCCAGCTCCAGACTTTAATGATCATCAGTTTAAAGCTTATTGATCTTTCACAACATCAACATTATATTAGTCAAAAACATAATTATCGTTTATCTCCATAGCTACTGGTCAGCAGCCTGACCTCTGACCCCTGACTGTCTCTGACCTTTCTGGACTCCAGCAGCTGATGAAGGCCGACGATGACGAGCAGACCCAGACCGGACAGGAAGACGTACATGAAGATCCTGAAGGCAACAGAGGAGAACTTAGACCAGTCGGAACAGAACCGGATCCAGAACCAGAACCAGAACCGGATCCAGAACCAGAACTCTGCGGTGCTTACGTTTCTCCCGTCCAGCCCGTCCTCCTTCTCAGTGATGGTGACTGTCTGGTTGAAGACGGCGTCCTGGAAGACGTTCCCCTGCAGGTGGAAGAGGAGGTGAAAGGTCAGAGGTCAGCAGCGGGTTCTGGTCCGGTCGGCCCAGCCGGTCCTTACGCTGCTGTCCTTGTAGTTGAGGTTGATGACGAGTCCAAACGGCCGGCCTCCCATCGGCTCGGCCGGGATGAAGGAGTACTCGAAGGTGGCCTGGCGGCCCGGAGGAACCACGGTGCCCAGCTGCAGCGCCGTGAAGTTCTGGATGTAGAACTGGTAGTCCTGGCAATGACACAACCGGGTCAGATCACAGGGTCCTGTCTGCGGCCACCGGGCCGGGTTCTAGCAGGTCGGGTTCTACCAGTACCTGAGGGTAACGGAAGGAGGCGTCCAGAGACTCAACCATGAAGTTCTCTGGTCCCTTGTTGGTGAAACCCAGAAGGAACTTCACAATGTTGTTGGCCGGGAAGTCTGGAGGGGAGAGAGCCAGGGTCAGAGCAGAACCGGACCGGGGAACCGGGCCAGAGAGAACCAGGGTCAGAGCAGAACCGGGCCAGAGAGAACCAGGGTTAGAGCAGAACCGGACCGGGGAACCGGGCCAGAGAGAACCAGGGTTAGAGCAGAACCGGGCCAGAGAGAACCAGGGTCAGAGCAGAACCGGGCCGGGGAACCGGGCCAGAGAGAACCAGGATCAGAGCAGAACCGGGCCAGAGAGAACCAGGGTTAGAGCAGAACCGGGCCAGAGAGAACCAGGGTTAGAGCAGAACCGGGCCAGAGAGAACCAGGGTCAGAGCAGAACCGGGCCAGAGAGAACCAGGGTTAGAGCAGAACCGGGCCAGAGAGATCCAGGGTTAGAGCAGAACCGGGCCAGAGAGAACCAGGGTCAGAGCAGAACCGGGCCGGGGAACCAGACCAGAGAGAACCAGGGTTAGAGCAGAACCGGACCGGGGAACCGGGCCAGAGAGAACCAGGATCAGAGCAGAACCGGGCCAGAGAGAACCAGGGTTAGAGCAGAACCGGGCCAGAGAGAACCAGGGTTAGAGCAGAACCGGGCCAGAGAGAACCAGGGTCAGAGCAGAACCGGGCCAGAGAGAACCAGGGTTAGAGCAGAACCGGGCCAGAGAGAACCAGGGTTAGAGCAGAACCGGGCCAGAGAGAACCAGGGTCAGAGCAGAACCGGGCCAGAACAACAGTCACCTTCTCCTTTGACGAACAGGATGGTGGTGTCGGCGTTGGGCGAAGCCTTCACCTCTCCCACCAGCGCCTCCTCTTCCTCATCTTTCTCCTCCGTCTGAACAGAAACAGGAAGTGAGGTCACAACCAAACCAGCTGACTAATAAAAAATTTTAATTCTCATTTTATGAAACATTTGACATGTTTTGTCTCGAACAGCACCGAGCAGAGAGGTCGAGGTCAAAGCTCACCAGCTCTGTGTTTTCATCGTCTTCTACTTCAGCTTCATCATCCTCATCCTCAGCCGTCACATCGTCCACAACATCTTCATCCACAGCCTCAGCCTCCTCATCCTCCGTCAGGTCCTGGGCGCTCGCCACCGGGCCTGAAGACCACAGAGAAGAGACAAACTTTTAAAAACTGTCTTAGAGTCTCAGAGTTTCTGGGAACTACAGCAGGACCTTCATCATCATCATCATGATGAAGATGATTAGTATCAGATCACAACACAGTCGGATTATTATCACTATTATTATCATTATGTGACAACGTTGAGCTCGTTCAGGTTGTCCTTATCCACCCTGAGACGCTAATATAGCAACCAACTTTTGATTTGCGCTGCCATGGAGACGCTTGACCTCATTTCACAAATAAAAATAAAAAAATATTCTGTATAATCTGCTTAAAGGTCCAACCTGGGATCAAATGAAAACTTAATTATATACATTAGATTTAAATAAGAGAAACAAAAAGAAAGAAGGAAATAAGTTGGGTGACCCAGAAACAAAGAGGGTTCATTAAAAAATGATACATAACTGAATTTTGGTTTTGATTATAAAGCAAATAATTAGCAGAAACATCCAATCATGGACAAAACACACAGAAACATGTAGTTAATTTACATTCACTTAGACAAAAACAACAACAAAATAAGGCTTTTGGTAAAATACTATTTAGTTTATGACATTGAGTGGTATTATTTTAAGAAATTAAAAGTTTATTGTGGTCCATTAATCTCCTGAGCTCAGTGGCAAACCGGATGGGAACTTCAGTATTGATCACACAGCTTTAGCTCTTAGTTTAGACCAAATAATCACATTTAAACTGCAGATCAATAGAAAACAGAGAATAAATTTAAACCACTTACTTCTGAGATTATTTCCTAAATTAGCAGCTCGGAACAAACTGACCCGCTTTAAACTGATGACGCCTTTTAACGGCGTTTCCAGCTTTCTGCTGTTAACATATACTGACATCACGTGAAGTTTAACTAGTTTAGAGTTAAATTAATATCTGAGGAGGCGAGGAGAGCCGTTAGCTCTCCGGCTAACAGCTAACACTAAGGACACGTCAGTCTAAACACGAGCAGCAACTGCTTTCATGACAGCTAAAATTAAAATACTAAATGTAACATTACCAACACATACTGATCAGCAAAGATAAGGATGCCATATCAAGCTGTTTATATTTTATAAATACGCATTTTATTTAAAAATCATGGTTTTATTGCAGTCAACAACATGCGTCTGGCCTAGCTCTCATTAGCTAGTTAGCTCCACTGCTCACACCAGCATGCTGCGGTAACATCCGTCTAAACCTCAAAACAGGCAATTCAAAAAAACTCACCTTTGATGAGAATGGTCACCGGGAAGGCTACAAGCAGTAGCAGACATAGTTTAGGCATAAACTTCAACATTTTGAAACAGGAATCAGTGCGTTCTCATTCAGTGTCGGTCAGACTGCAAGGCTGAAGCGCCTCCGTTCCCAGATCACTTCTTCTGCTGCGGCACTAGACAAGGAGAAATGGGTTGGCGCGAACACCTGCTGCCCCCTACTGTCAAAGCGCATGTATTACAATATGAACACAGTGAAGGGCCAAATAAATAAATAAATAAATCAGACTGTTCATTTAGCATTTTATTATTTTTTTATTTCATTTCTCTCACATGGAACAGTTATAATAAAAACTGAAAAGAGTGACTGATCATTCCAAATAAAATTTAATTAAGTTGATTATAACCTGTGTTAACTTACAGACTATTAATGACCTATAGCTAATAATATAGAGAATGCCAAAAATCCTCAAAGCAAAATCAAAAAAAGTCTCAAAGTGTCTCTTTCAAAAATCAACACACAAATATATTCAGCAAATCATACCAGCTATTTTCCAGAAAACCAAATGTTAACCAAATGCATAAATTCAGAATATGATCAGATGCATTCATCACAGCAAGACAACAAATCCATAAAAATTCAAATATTCATGTCCAAAATCAGGAGTGAAGATATTCAGACAAACAGAAAAGTTTTATGTTCTCACACAGCTTCAGTCCAAACACACATGAAAAATTCAGTTTTCTGCACATAAAAATGTTAAAAATAAAAACACACAGAGATTACTGTGGCCATTTCTGACTAAACTGAGACTTTTTCATCTCTTTAGAAATTATTCAACACAGAAATTACAAAATCTAAGCTGGTTATCAGACTGAGAATGAACTATATCTGTTCTCCATCTTTTCTGCTAAATCACTTCAAAATAAAAAAGCCAAAAAGAAAATGTGGGATTTTAAAATCTTTCTTCATTTTCATTTCTCTCCTAACAAAATGTCTGCAGTGATGTTCACTGGTTTTTAAATAAATCCAAACAGCATTTTTTCTCTTCCTGCTCTAAAATCATCGGGGTAAATTTGACCTTTATTGCTTTGAGGATGAAACTGAAAATAAAACTTTACCCCGATAAACGACCTCCATGAAGGTCATGAGCAGCCGCGTTTAACTGGCTGTAACACTCATCCACCATTTGTCATTTAGAGAAACAACTGACCCTGTTGAATCTGAACATATTCTGATTTTATGAAGGAAAATGTAGAAAAAGAAATCTTTAAACTTGAGATTTAAAGATTTCATGTTTGAACTAAACAGAGAAAAGCTGAACTGGTTTCATCCTGAGAACCAGTAAGACCATTAAATACAGGCTCACTGGGTTTTAATGACTGAACCCAAACTAAACTGTCCTCAATGCACTGTAAAAATATGTAGGCTTTTATTAAATATATGTTTAAATACAGGAAACACGACTGATATTTTTAGTGACTTCTGTTGCCGAGACATAAATTCCTGCACCAGCAAAAAATCCAACATTTATCAGAATCTGGTTTTAATTCTTGTTTTTAACAGAATCCTCTGCTGTCAGTTCTTTGTTCGACTCTCTTTCTGTCCTCCAGAGTTTCTAATCTCAGATCATCCAGAGTTCATCATCTTCAGTTCCTAGTTTGGATCAGTTAATCTATCCGACTTTATTCTCTTGTTTTTCCCTTTTTGAAGAAAAGCTAAGAGAAATAATGGGCTGATCTGTTACATAATATCTATAACTTTATACAGGATGCTAATGAGTAAAATTAACTTATAAATATTAATAATATTAAGTTGTCAATTATTTGAACTTGAGACACTGAGATAAAATCTTTATATTAAAGTCAATGTGAAATGCTCCCTTCATTTTTAAATACATGAATAAAAGTGATAGAAAATCAGCCAATAAAACATAAACGTGTTAATCACTAAATATTAAATAGCATTAAATAATCTGGGATTATAATCCAGTGTCAGGGTGGATGTAGCTTCGTTTGCTAACAGCTGCTTTACGAGGGAAACGTTTTCTTTCACTTTGTTCTGATCATGATAAACGTCTGCTTCTTTTCACTCAGAAAGTTTAGTGGAAGGAAGATCGTCAGATTAGATCTGAGTGAATTAGTGTGGACAGGGTGAACGATGCGTGGAGACGTGTTAGAGAAAAACAACAACAAAAAACTGACAGAGGAAGAAATACCACAGAACTTCAACCTGAAACTTGGACTAGACCACCTCTTTCAACTTGTCTCAGTTCATTTAACCATCAGAGCTCTTTTTACCCTCCAACTAATTTTCTTTCCTACGGTTGATCAGAACCTCAGCCTCTCACACACATCCTCCTCTTCCTCAGTAAACTGCCAGGCGTCTAATTGGCTGATGACTAAAAGGTTCAGCGGAGAACAGTTGGACGTCATTTCTGCAGCTGGTGGAACATATGGGGACCCTGAAATAAAAACATCACCAGCATCTGAGAGCGTTGACAGTTTTCACCCTGAAGGACGCCGGCTCTTCCTCCTCCTCCTCTTCCTCCCTGTTCAGTTGCAACACTCCACGTAGTTTGCGGGCAGCATGCCGGACTTGCCGGTCCTCTGCACGGTGCCGTACATCCAGCCCTCGTCGATGGGCTGCGCGTTGACGATGACGTCTCCGTCCCTGAAGGACACCTCGTCGTGGTCCTGGGCCGCGTAGTCGTACAGCGCCCGGTAAACACGCTGCAGGGGGACAGAGACAAGCTGAGCCCGGTTCAGAGCGGCTCTGAGGGGAGGGGAATCATTTCAGGTCTCCAAAACGTTTCAGAAGGATTCAGCATTTGTTTCTGTCAGAATCACTGATTTTCTGTTGCTACTTCAGAATTTTGTGATTTTTTTTTCCATCATTAAACTGTTTCCAAAATTTACAAATAGAAAAAAATGATCAAATAAAAACCAATAGATTGGACACAAACATTTTTATTCTTTATAAAACCTAAACAGCTCTAGAGTCAGCAGTGGAGTAGCAGTAATAAACACTGCCACCTGCAGGCAGGAGTTAGTATCACTTCAAACCAATGTTTTCTCCAGTGTTGCAGAAAATTTTCAACAAACACAATTATAAATCAGAGGGTAAAAATGCAGGGTTCTGTTGGATTTGTGTGAATTTCTATGAAAATCTGGAAGGAATGAATAAAGAGTTTGGTGAACTCAGGGTCTACAACCTGCAGCTCTGGACCCACAAGAAGCTCTTTGGACCCTCAACATCAATAACTGGAGAAAAATAACAAAGAACCAACTAACCTGTTTACGTAACAATATATTAGTAAATGATAGTTTTGCAGATCCAAAATAAAAAAAAAACATGAATAATTTTAAGTTATTTGGATTCAGCTTGACCAAAAAGTAACTTTGATTTTAAGTGAACACAAATCACGAATAAATAAACTTTAGAGGAAATAAAGGAATTTTATAGTATTTCCTACAAATATCAGAATCTTAGAGAGAAAATGGATCGACTCAATTTATGGCCAAAGTTCAGGATCCTTTTTTGTTTTAAGATATAAAAACATAAATAAAATGTTTTTTTGTTAATATGAAAAAGCAAAACCTTTAAGAACCATTTTGTTTTGTCCAGCATCATCATCAGGGTGTGAATACTTTATGCAGTGTGTGTCTGTTGGAGTGTGTGACGCGCGGCGCGCGGCGGCGTACCGATGTGGCCGAGTGCGGCGGCGAGGTGACGGATCGGACCGACGACATGCTGGTCTGATGCATGTAGCCGTGGAACTGCTGCTGCTGCTGGACGCTCTGATGATGATGGTGGTACGCACCGGGCAGGACGGGAGCTGGACACACACACACACACACACACACACACACACACACACACACACACACACACACACACACACACAGAGAGAGCAGGTCAGCATCCTGCAGCCATCCCATCTTGTCCTCTGAGGAAGATGAAGGTGAGTCTCTCTGAGGAAGACCCGGGTCAAAGGTTAGAATCAGGCTTTCTCTGCTGTGAGGCCACAGATACCAGGAGTGCTGCTGCCGCTGCGGTCCCAGAGGTCAGAGGTCACAGAGCTGGCAGACTGCTGGGACAGCTGGCTGCTCAGCCTGCGGCCGGCGCGCTCTGCCAGGCGGCCGCCACCAGGTGGCAGCACAGCGCCGGGATGAGGCCAGCAGCCACAGAGCAAGACAGCGAGAGAAAGAAAAATAATTCAGCTCAGAAGAAAGTTGGTTTTTAAAAACAGCAGCTGTTAGTCGGGTTAATATGAAGAAACACGATTATTAATTATTTAAAGATCTGGAATATTCAGTTATTTATCAGTTATTGAATATAAAACGATCCATTTCACCTCAAATTATACTGTTTATGTTTAATGATCAGAATCCTGCAATTTTCAGTGATTTTATTTTACGTTTTCTGTTCCTTTTTTCACACCAAACATATTTTATTTCACATATATTTTAATGTTCTAATTAGGTTATTTATCATTATTTTTCTCTTTGGATATAAAATGTTTCACTGCACTGAGACCTGAAAAAAGAAAAACAAACATTTTGTCCCAAAGTTATACTTAACTACACATTTATAAGTTATGACATCACAGCTGAATTTTAACTGAATTTAAGAAACTCAGACAATAAATGAACTTTGACTAAACAGCTGCTTCTTTTCCAGTCTGAACTTTAAGATTTTTTTCTTAAGGTTTGATTATTATAAGTGTAAATTATAGTTTTTTGAAACCAAACATTTATTCCAGGATTCTTGTTTTAACCATTTTCTTATTTATATTTCCCAGGTTTCAGTTTTCTTCTTTTGTACTAAATAAACAACTTTTTTCAGATGGTTTTCACACATCATGACATTTTATTTCCATCTTCTGTTTTTTGCAGCTCTATAATGATCAGTTTTGTTCTATAAATGGCATTGACATATTTTACATTTTGATCCTTAATATGAAGCAAACAGAACAACATGCAGGTAACATGGTGCTGATTAACGGGACGTTTCTGAACTCAGTCAGCAGGTTGGTGAAAATCCACACGCTAAATAATTAACGTGGTTTTAGTTGTTCTGAACTTTCGCTCATCTACCCGACATCCTGCGCAGACTTTTGGACTGAATGTTGTCCTCTACAGGGTCAAAATCA